GTTCCAGGCTGAGTCATTTCTACCTTCTCCTCTCTGTCAACGCTCTCTGGTTTCATTTAAAAGAGTCGACCATGTTGCACATTTCACTGGATTACGTAATGATCTTTAACGCCATGATGTCATGAAATATGTTATCTTTTAGGGGACAAAATGATGTTTGCATATATTAAAGTTACATTTAGATGTCCTATAAGGGTAATAAGACTTTCACTGTAGAAGGGTTTTTGTAAAGTTGTTGATATCTTTGAAGTGATGCTTTTCATAAAGTTCACATTCTCCACTGTCACAGAGGACACACTAACACACAASTGCACAGCAACAATCACAACTAAGACTTGCTGCAACAAGATATTGATGTTGTCTCAGTTATATGTACTCAGTCTACACTATTACTGTAGTACTACTGTAGTACAGCCTCTGTATTTGTGGCAGTGGTGTAACTGCAGTACAGTGTGCACTCAGATGGTTCGGTTCGTGTGTTCGGGTTCTGGTTACCATGCCCACGCAGAACACGGTGAAGAGCAGGAACCAGGGCAGGTCCGTGCAGCTCCGGTCCTCCAGCGGTCTCCATTCTCTCTTTGTCCTCTGCAACACACAAACACGGTCASTGAGCCTGCAGAACCGGACCGAACCGGGTACAGCCGGCCCTCATCCTGTTCCCCCCCACCGCCCAGGACTGTCAGCCCGGCCCGGTTCCATCCGGCGATCCGAACCTCCGGCTCCGATTGGGCCTGTTGTTTACTGACGGCCGGGTTCGGGAGCGGAGCTGCGGCTGCAGGAGATAATTGGATTATCTGATGGGTTTAATCCGAGTCGGCCCACCTCGGTTCTCCTTTTCACGGTTAAAAATACGAACAGATATTCTGGACCTGATGAAGGACACCCGGGTAACAGAAAAGAGACCGAACCGGACCGGACCGGGCCGGGCCGAGCTTACCTCCGCGCTACCGCAGCATCCCATTGCAGTCAGGGTGGACGCGCCCGGAGCCTCACGGAGCTCCACGGAGCCTCAGCTCAGCAGCGGCGGGGGTCTGGAGCTCGACAGGCGGACTGAGGACACGGGCAGCCCCCGCGTGGTCCCGGAGGCCGAGTCCCGACGGTCAGACTGAGCGCTCCGGCCCGCTCCTCCGGGTTACCGAACCGAACCGGGATTAACGGCCGAGGATTTGTCCGCCTCACTTCCCGGTGGGCCGTCAGGTACAGCGGCCATTCATCTCATTACGCATGCGCACATAGCGGTGGAGCTTATTGGAGCAGAACAACAGAGCGAGGCAGCGGCTGCAGTACCAGCTCCGACCGCTGAATGGAGTTGAACGGTGAGTGGCGCTGTTTCCACTGAACTCCATTCAAGCTATGACTGAAGCAGCTGCAGTACCCGCTCTGACCGCTGAATAGAGGTGAACGGTGAGTGGCGCTGTTTCCTCTGAACATCAGAGAGTTAAATAATCCTAGATCAGAGGTTCCAAAACTTTTTATCTTCTGACCCACAAAATATTCATGGCAAAAACTTGTGACCCCAAATATTACTGGTCTGAGTACACAAACTTCGTTAATAACCCTAAAAGCACAGACTTTTTGACAATCWAAACAGCTTGTACACAAATATAAATACTAATTTATTTGTATTTTGTGTTTTTGTAATAATTATAGGGAAAATATTACAGCAGCAATTATTTTATTACCCTTTAAATTGATTTCTGGAGATTATCCAAGGTGCTTCATGACCCATAATTGGGTCCCAAGCCCAACTTTGGGAACCAAAGTGCAGTGGTTCCCAAACTTTTCAGCTTTTGACCCACAAAATAACAGTAGCAGAGACCTGTGACCCCAGATATTTTTGAATGATGAACATTTGTATCAGGTCAACTAAACATGGGCATAGTAACAATATTTTTATACTACATTTATCCATTTTAAATACACTAACCTCACTCCTTTGTAACATCTAAGGCAAAAATGTAATTAATTCACATCTTGTCAGGACCCCGCCTTGATGTTTCGGGACCCCACTTTGGGTCCCGACCCCAACTTTGGGAAACACTGTCCTAGACTGAGCCATACCTCTCCTCCGCTGTTAGCATGTTAACATCACAACATGGAGGAGCAAAAATGGCGACCAAACAGGGCAACAGCTAACAGCCGTCAGCAAGCCCAACTATCAGAAAAATACAGTAAATAACAGCTAAAACTACCAGAAAATTACAATAAATTGAAACTTTGAGAAAACTAGAGTAAATAACAGCTAAAACTACTAGAAATTTATAATAAATGAACAACTGAAACTATACTGTGGATCTGTGTCACAAATTATCCATGATTTTAATTTTTTTAACAATAATATAATTGCTAATTATGTTAATTTAATAGTAATATGTAAAACAGACAAATATATTTGCCAGACAAATATATAATTTATAAGGAACAATAATTTCAACCAAAACTGAAGTCGGTCAATAACTTTTTAGCTAATTGTAAAATTATGACTTCAACTAATAAATTATATTTATTATTACTTAGCTAGCTGTRAGATACTTRCATCTTCTTCAACAGGACTTTAATTTTTTTATTTATMTTAGCTTCAAAACACTTTATTCCCCTTTAAATATTATTTTACACTTTAAATATTACGTAAATCAAAAGCAGTTTTTATTATTTAATAATTTGTGTTAAATTTTAGCATGACTCCTGGCAGAGTGCTACATTTTGTATAACATGCTACAAAAGCTAATATCGGCTAACTACATTGCTAATTGCTAACTGCAATAATTAACAGTGATTACATCATCTTTATAAGCTTTTCTTAATTTCAAACTGCAGCTTCAGTTCTGCTCAGATCCCATCCACTTTGAAGTAAATAAAATAAATCCTGTTTACTTGTAAAATGAGATGTTTTTCTGTTCCTCTTTTGGTAAATTCATAACACAACTTTTTGACATTATTTTAAACATTAGATCATTTATATGCACTCTAAAATATTTTTAATAATTTTGTTAATATCATTAATACTTTGTATGATTTCTACATCATTAGTATTTTTTCTATGTTAGCAACATGTGCAGTAATGGTAAATCCAGACTCTTGCCTCTTGTTATGTGTAACTCTGTAGCTTCTAGATCACATGATCAACACTCACTCTAGTTGTTAAATATACCTCTATCCTGAATATCAGAATAAGCAATGATCATTTAATAATCAATAATTTTGTTTTTTTCACTGTTTTATTACTGAATATTATCATCAAACATCTAATATTTAATCTAAATATGACTTTACAAACCTCAAAGCTAAAAAATATGTAATGTTTTTGTCCTTTCTGGTTGGTTTAAAGTTGGTTTTTTATCAGTTTACTAAGTTTCTGTGTCCGAAGTGTTCATTTCATGCTTTTTGTGTTCTTTAAAATGACTCATCTAAAAGTGAGTGAAAAATTATATGAATTTAATTTGCTGTCAATAAAGTAATAGTTGAGCGTACAGTATGACTGTTTCCTGTGTTTGCTGCTGCAGCTGCAACCGTTTCCTGCAGGTTTATTTTGAGATGTAAGCGTCCCTCAGAGCTGCTGCAGCTCTTCAACACGTAAGTGTCTTTGTTTTACATCTTGGTAAACACAGAAGTCACTGTTTACAGTCTGCACCAGTCACCACGTGCAGAAGATGCCTCAGAGACACTGCAGCTCTGTACCAGCCGGGCCTCTCCGACAGGAAGCTGAGCTCCTGATGGACGTGTCTGTTGTTTTCTGTTGAACTGAAAAACCTTTTTCAGTCAGTCTCTGTGAAGTCTTGATGCGAAGCTGCAGGGAACTCAAACTGTCTCATTTGTTGTGTTGGAAGGTTTGTTGGCGTGGACGCAGACAGAACAGCATCACAGAGATCAACAGCTCCTGCGAGGCGTTCACTGACCTTGGGACAAGTCGTTTATCTCAGGAGGCTCTTTTCTGAGCCAGATTTACTCCAAATAGAGTCGCTGCTGTTTGTGAGTCTCTTCATCGTCCTGAAACTCCTCGTCCTCTGAGCCAAACTCAGCCTGTTAAATTTGATTTTTTTAATTTAACTGTTCATGAACTCTTCCTGTTCCGCAGACAAACCATCGGCTCAGATCTTTGTTGTTTTATCTGTTTCTTTCAGATTGTTTTATTCTGGTTTTCAGACCTGAAACAGCTTCTTCTGGACTCTGCTAGTTCACATTATTTATATTTTATAAGAACACAACATGTGGTCGAGGTCCAGAACAACAACCAGAACTTCAACAAAAGAAGAACTTCAGAAAGTTTGGAGGATCGTTGATCAAGACCACTTTAAAGGATCATGTAGGACTTTTAAGTACTCTGCTTTTTGCTTTTATTTTTTTGGTTCTTGGTCTGTTTTGTAGTTAGTACCCTGTAGTACTCTACAGTTCTCTGTAGTACAAGTACACAGCAGTAGCAAATGAAAACAGTATAAAGTACAACCTCACAGTTCTTTTTACCTTTTTCCTGAGTCGAACCTGCTGCTGAGAGCCTGAAGACAGGTTCCTAGAGTCCATGATCCTGTGGAGTTCTAGTGGGGTCTGGAGGTCCAGCAGAGTCCTGATGGTCCAACAGAGTCCTGGTGCTGCAGTCAGCCAGAGGCCAGCAGTGATGTGGGTCTGATGGGGCTGCAGGGAACAACAGAACTTTTGTTTTATTGTTGACTGTTGTACCAGGCTGAACGCTGTGTGTGTGTGTGTGTGTGTGTGTGTGTGTGTGTGTGTG